TAAATCTGGAGAATGTAATTCTCTGAAAAATAACAATTATGCATTGTTTTTCAAAAACCGAAAGATAACCCTAAGTTGTTTTGATCGATCAAAGCTATACAGCAAATAAGTTTGTTTTAAACTTTGTAAATTCGACTAGGTCTCTGCAAACATATCAAATTTACGTTAAGCTGAAGATTATAAAACGAAATGTCCATCAGGAAAAAAAAAATCGTTAGATATCTTCATGGCTTTTTTTTAAAGTTATGCGCAAGTTTTTGAAAGAGTTAGGCTTACAAAGTGTATATAAAATTTCCATTCAGAATATCTAATTTAAATTAGAAAATTAGTGCAGTAAGAAACTTGAGTTCAATAATAAAAATTACTAGAAATTACTGAAAATTAAAAATTACTGCAACTAAACATTTTGGAAATTTAGTAAACACATAGTTACTAAAGTTTAGATTCTAAAAATTCAGTTGTTAAGTATAAGCTCAAATGTATTCATTACTATACTTCTACTTACTCTGTCAGCAATTCTGGTTCCTGAGGAATCAAAAAAGGTGCAACAGATAATATATGTTGTTCAATATCTTGCCTATTCTTTCACATTAATTCAATTAATTCGTCTGACACCACCTTTGTAATTTATCCGTTACTAAATAGTTCTTAAAGGTGCCCTGTTCTACTTAGATAACGAAGAAGAAAATACAAAAACAAGTGTGTAAGAAATATCACTTTCTTTATCACAGATTTAGAAGGTGCAGTAGTTATTACTGAATAGAAGCACTTTGTAATTTCCCTGTAAACTTTTTTTTGACTGCATATGTCATTTGATGTATCAGAGGTATTAATTAAAAATAACAAATAATTCTAAGCACTATCGTCTTCATTCGCACTTCTCTTAAAGTAATCTATAATGAAGGCCGCCTATTCAAACTGACTGTTAAAAATTCCAAATTCAACTTGCTCTAGGTCTGTCTGTGATTATTTAAAGAACACACTCTTTATTTTATACAGCTACAAAAATGAACAAGTATTACTCATGCTTCGCGTGTTCCTAAAATTAGTTATTTTAAAATAACCTGATAAAAAGTGGTACTATATTCTAATTTTCTGGTTCTCAGTGCTTATTTTATGACCTTCATGTCAGTTATAAGTCAGCATCTGATTGTTTATAATAATTACTTAATTTGTTTAATCTTCAGTGTTTTTTGACTTGAAACCTCTAACATAAAATTATTTAGATTAATTGTCTCATCTGTCGATCAATATTTGCCATAATCTACAATATTTTATAACTGAGAATACATTTTTATACTGATATGCCAGAATTGATAATGCCAATAAAATTACTCACATTTTTTGTTTAATAACAGCAATTATCAACAAACAGAACAGTGTTTCAGTTTGCAGTTCGTCAACAATAATGGTCTTTTTCAGATTGTTAAAATAAATTCTTAATAGAATTAAATAAGATTCATACTTTATTTGTAAAAAAAAATAAAGTTTTGAGAAAACCTAAAAAAAATTAGAATTTAAAAGTACAAAAATAAAAAAAAAGGAAATAATTTTTGCTGGGTTATCTATCATTCTTCTAAATTATCATCACATTAAAGGTGATCTGAATAGTGTAAGGTAACAAAGAAATTTTAATTTAATTTTACTTTTATCCTATCAGTAACCTTTGTGTGACAAAAAAACCGCTTTGGGATTAGTCAGGAGCACACACGACCTAAAATATTTATATAAGCTAACAAAACCACTAAACCGCTGAGAAGTGGGAGATCGTTTACATACAGTAGTCAACATTAAAAAGACCTGGATAAGCGTTGTTATCAAGTAATGTAAAGCCATTAATAACGTGAAATCCGGCGTTAATACTTGTAGATGCCAATATTAGCAAACTTCCGCTCGACAAAATAGGAGGACTCCCTGATACACGTCGTTGAATTAATGATGTGCTGAAAGAACAGTCCTTAACTCGCTGTAAGGAGACTGAAATTTCTGAAGCGTTGTTGCGACACCGGGAAGCGCTAGTGAAAGCCGTTTCAGAGTGCATAGCTTCGATATCTGTAATTCCGTATTGTACAGCTTCTGCGAGTGCCAAACCAAGCGCATCTGCGGCAGATTTGGATGCCGTGGTGTTTTCAAAAATCAGTTTTTCTGGATGCAAACTAACCTCAAAAGATATAAAACAGTAAACTCTACCAGTCATAGTACTCAGAAAAGTAATGGCACACCGGTAGGACGACCACCGACGACAAATATTTCAACTTAATTGTTTGACTCAGTGTAACTCTAAATAGTTCTTAATGCTTCAGACTGTAATGTTTAGTCTGAATGCAATATTCTTGAACATCTAGAAGTTCAATCAGCTAATAAGACTTTCATTGAAGAGAAACGCTTACAATTGGCAAGACCTAGAATAACTAAAAGAAAAAAAA